TGTGGACGTAGTCACAACTGACTGCAATTTTGAAACCCAACTTACAGCTCCACCAGCAATTTTGAACACATATCATGTAGTAGATTTGCTTTTATCAAAATCTCCTGCATAGTCAGAATCTACATAACCATTGATTAGTAAGTTTGATCCTCCGTAACATAATGCAACATTTGAGGTCCCTTTGATGTATCTGAGGATCCTCTTTACAATATTCCAATGCTCTTTGTCTGGATTCGCCATGTACCGACTAACCACTCCTACTGCTTGTGCAATGTCTGGTCTTGTGCATATCATAGCGAACATTAAACTTCCCACTGCTGATGCATACGGTACTCGAGAGATCTCCATCATCTCTTCTTCACTGCTAGGACTCATACTGGAGGATAATTTGAAGTTAATAGGAAGAGGGGTAGAAATTGGCTTACAATCTTGCATGCTAAATCGTGACAAGATTTTCTTCAAGTAATTCTTTTGTGAAAGCCAAATCTTCCTATTACTTCTGTCTCGGTGAATTTGCATCCCTAGAATCTTGTTTGTTGATCCCAAGTCCTTCATTTCAAATTTCCTAGCCAGTTGTGCCTTCAATTCTTCAATATGATCTTTGTTGGGTCCTGCAACCAACATGTCATCCACATAAAACAACAATATAACAAAATCGTTATCACCAGACCTCTTGAAATAAGCACAAGGGTCTGCATTAAGTCTGTTGTATCCAAGGCACATAATGAAGGAATCAAATCTCTTATACCAACACCTCGGCGCCTGCTTTAGACCGTACAGAGATTTGTTCAACCTGCAAACCAAGTTCTTCTTTTCGTCTTCTTCAAAACCTTCAGGCTGGAGCATATAAATCTCTTCTTCAAGATTTCCATGAAGAAAAGCTGTTTTAACATCTAGCTGTTCCAAATGTAAATTCAATGTAGCACACATTGCCAAGACTACTCGAACTGTTGTTAGTCGAACCACAGGAGAAAAAATTTCATTGAAATCAATACATTCTTTCTGAGCATATCCTTTGACCACCAGTCTTGCACGATACCTCTCCACTTGATCGTCACCATTTCACTTGATTTTGAAAACCCATTTGTTACCAATTGGCTTCCTTCCTTGTGGTAGTGGCACAAGGTCCCATGTATTATTTTTATGAAGGGCTTCGATTTCTTCTTGCATCGCCATTATCCACAGTGAAGCATCTGAGCTATTTATTGCCTCCTGGTATGTTGATGGCTCACCGTCCTCTGTTAAAAGGCAGTATGCAATATTACCTTCTATAACATAATCTGAGTGCCAATTGGGACGTCTTTTCACATGATCTGATTGACGAGTTGTTGGAGCTTCAGAACTCTCTGGTTCTTCTTCATCATGTGCTGGTTCTGCTTCAGAAGAATCTCCTTCTTCAAACTCTTTTTCCACATGTATCTGAGTAGTCTCTGACTTTTCAGCGCTATCATCGTCTTCTTTTCTTTGTAGTTTATCTTCTACAAAGATAACATCTCTACTGATGATCACTTTGCGGGCAGTGGGATCCCACAAGCGATACCCCTTTACTCCATCAGCATACCCCAAGAATTTGCATTTCCTGGATTTTGGATCCAGCTTTGAAATTTCTTGGGAGTTGTACATCACGTACACGATACTTCCAAATACATGAAGGTTTGAATAATCAGCTGGTTTACCAGTCCACATCTCCATTGGTGTCTTCAGCTCTATTGCAGTTGATGGAGCTCGATTCACCAAATAACAGGCGGTATTGACTGCTTCTGCCCAAAATGATTTTTCTAGGCCTGCATTCCTCAACATTGCTCTTGTTCTTTCTAACAAGGTTCTGTTCATCCGCTCTGACACTCCATTTTGTTGAGGAGTGTTCGCCACTGTGAACTGTCTTTTGATGCATTCTTTCTTGCAAAAGTCATCAAATTCTTCGCTTGTGTATTCTCCTCCATTATCTGTTCTGAAACACTTGATCTTATTTCCAGAATCAAGTTCCACCCACGCTTTGAAGTTTTTGAGAGTTGAAAACACGTCTGACTTCTTCTTAATAGGGTGCACCCAACATCTCCTAGAGTAGTCATCAATAAATGAGACAAAGTATTTTACTCCACCTAGGGACGTTACTGGTGCTTGCCATACGTCAGAGTGAACCAATTCTAGAACACTTTTGCCTCTAGAATTTGATGTGTTGAATTTCAACCGGTGCTGCTTACTTGTTATGCAATGCTCCCACAAAGGAAGTGATACATTTGTTAAGCCTGGAAGTAGCTTTTGCTCCACAAGGACTTTCATTCCTTGTTCTAACATGTGTCCAAGTTTATGATGCCATAGCATTGCCGAATCTGAATTACATGAGGCAACAGAGGCTTCTGCTTCTAGCAAAGTCTCTCCCTTCAGCATGTACAAGTTTGCAGCTATCTTTTCGCCTTTCAGCACCACAAGTGCTCCACGGAACACTTTCATGATTCCTTTCCGTGTTTCAATCTTGCTAGCATTATTATCCAACAATCCGTAGGATAATAAATTTTTCTTCAGACCTTTCACGTGCCGCACATCTCGAACAACTTTAATTGTTCCATCATACATCTTCAATTTGATGGTTCCCATGCCAACGATCTCTAAGGCATGATCATTGCAACTATACATAGATCCTCCTGAGACAGGTTCATAATGATGGAACCATTCTCTTCTTGAGGTCATGTGATAAGTTGCTCCCGAATCAATGAGCCATATATCTGCAAATCGTTTTCTTCCTTCCACGGTGGTTGACGCTTCACAGCATAGAGCATCTCCATCATCTGAAGTGTTTGCGGTATTGCCTTGTGGATTGGAGTTTTTATTTAGACTCCAACAATCCTTCTTCAAGTGACCCTTCTTTCCACAGTTGTAACACTTTAAATTCTTCTTACTTCTCGACTTCGATCTACCATGTTTGTGACTGCTGCTTTGGCCACGTTCTGTTGATCTCTCTCTCATCGTTGTCATCGTTGTCAACGCTTCTGCTTGTTGCAGATTTACTTGTCTGTCTTCCTTGTTCTTGCGCCGATTTTTTTCTTGTAAAACAGCAACTGCAACGTCATCGAAGACTAGAGTGGTGACATTACTGTTTGTCAAGTTGATGATGAGTTGATCATATGAATCCGGTAGACTTTGAAGTAGAAGTTCAGCACGTTCTTGCTCTCCTATTTTACAGCTTAAGGATGTAAGATGAGAAAATAAAGTGTTCAGTGTATTTAAGTGCTCCGTCACTGAAGTAGATTCTGGCATACGGAGAGTGTACAATTTTCTCTTAAGGAAAATTTTATTGTGCAACGATGTGGCCTCGTCCAGTTTGGTGAGATGATCACATATCTCCTTAGTTGTCTTCTTCTCCTCGATACTTGACAATACTTCATCTGCTAATGCTAGATGAAAGTTTGCCATAGCATTTCCGTCCATTTCGATCCATTTGTTGTCGTCTATGAAATCTACTGGCCTTTCGCTGATAGCTGCTAGACAACCGTCTTTCCTCAGGATAACCTTCATCTTCAATTTCCACAATGAGAAATTTCTCCCATTGAACTTTTCAATATCAAATTTCGTTGCCATTTCTTCGTTTATGGATAGCTCCCACTATTTCACTATCGTGAATAGTTCTCTAGAACCTTCAAAGAATGGGTAATAACTTCTTACTTTCTTATGTTGGAGGATCTACCTTTTGGTGGCAACCACAAAGACAATACGCAGATATTACACACTCTAATCTAGCTCTGATACCAATTGTTGCGGAAGACGGCTATCGGATAGAGCAAAATCGCAATTGATAATTTGAGAAAATAAAAATGAAGATAAAAGAGACAAAAAATTTACGTGGAAAACCCCTAAAAATTTAGGGTAAAAACCACGGGCAATGGTAGAAGAATTTCACTATGAGAAAATAGGAATTACAACATCTCTCGATCTACCAAGGAGAAAACAATGATAATTCTCTCTAGATAAAAAGGAAAAACAACTCTCAAGAAACTCTCTAAAATCTCTCTAGTATTGGAAGAAAGCTAGAATGCTTTGGGATGATTTTGAAGCTAAATGAGCAAGGGTATTTATAGTTGAAACTTAAGGACTAATCTTATAAATACCCTAAATTACAATGACTAAAATTAATTATCCCATTACCTAATTTCAACAAAAATTAGGTGCCTAATTTTTGACTTTGACAAAGCACCATTTGGTTCCTAAATTATTTGACTTTTAACATTTTGATACACTGATTTATGGATAGAGATGGGTATGAAACCCGGATCCGACAGATTTAGATCAGATCGAATTTTTTAGGGGTTGTATTCGGGTCAGGTCGGGTTCAGGTTTAAGGTAAAAAATATTCGATCCAAGAAAAACATATAATTTTATCTTTATATTTAGGAATAATTATAATATTGCTCCTCTATATATTATTTTTTTCAATTAAATTAATATTTTTATTGAATAAAAATAATATTTTTTTAATAAATATAATATTTTGGGTCGGATCGGGTCAGGTTTGAATTTTATCTCAAAAAAGTCGGGTCAGGTTTGGATTAAGTTCGGAGTGTATAGTTTTCGGGTCGGTTCGGGTGGAAGATGTATAATTTTTGGGTCGGGTTGACCGAAAATCCGACCCAAAGCTTCCCATGCTCATCCCTACTTATGGACCACATCAAAGTGTTAAGTTCTTGCATATCTATTCATTATTGTTTAGCTAATTTACAATGTGTTAAGTTCTTGCATATCTATTCATTATTGTTTAGCTAATTTACAATCAACAGTAAATGTATTCAACTGCAACCATTATTCCTATCCTCTTGTGAATCCAACAACAACCAGCTAATTTACAAAAAAGAGCGTCAGTCTTTGTCCTTAAAACCAGCTTACCACCAACAAACAACCAAGCCAAACCTACTATAATAAAAATAACAACTCTCCTTGACCCTTAGCATAAACTAGGTATTCATATCCAAGCATATCACATATCATTAAAAAAGCTATCTAACTAGTTCAGCTAATAAACTTCTCTAAACAATGTTTGAATTTTGAAAACGGTTCTTGACCATTAGCATATACAGGTTACTAGTGCCCAGAGAATGCTATCATATCACGAAAAAGCTAGTTAGCTACCTAGCTAATAAACTTCTCTATAGGTGGTTTGAAGGACCTTGAAAATTTATAATCTCACCTTTTTTTCCAATGTAGTTCGAGGCATTTAGTGAACAAGAAAAGATAGCTCATGGTGTACACTTATAAGGCTGCATTGACCATCTAACACTACAGCAGTAACTTCCTCCGTTAGGCGTTTACAGGTACCTCTATATAGCAGCTTAAACCATGTACTCTTCAACATGCAGCCACTTCGTTGAGGTCCATTTGTTTCCCGAAATCACAGGGCATCCAACTGGCATTGGGAACAAGAAACACAAATATACTCATTTATTTTGTATAACAGTTGATAACTAAAAGTTGCTGCATGATAGAATGAAAATTGGTTATTTTACACATGTCAAAAATTATGTTTACAGATCATTTTTGTCTATGGGAACTGCAAAACTGCTTAATTATTCTTGAACCACAATTTAAGATAAAAGCAACAAAAAGAAAAGGGCTGATAGCAGACCGTGCAAACTTGAAGGATCTAGCTTGGCATCAGGCCTCATGCTCCAGAACAGAAAAGCATCCCCCATCTTTGGCTTCACAGCTAGACCCTGTTTACCACATTCAGACAATTCATTCCACCAAGGCACAGCAGTAACATTTCCTTTGGCTGCTGGAAATACCGTCTCACCTCCTTCTTCAACATCTGACCTGCATGAGTAACAGGAAGTAAGGTAAGAGATACCAAATCCTATTAATTTTCAAATATAGAAAGCTGAAACGAGTAAAGTAGTTCTGTGAAACTTGATTGGCTGTCAAATGCATCATAGACTTGTACAGATAAAATTAAAAAACTTACAAATACATAAGCACGGTAGCCATCCGCTGGCCTCCATTTATAGTGTTGAACTTGTCAGCGAAGTAATCGAAGTGTGCATCATATTTCTGTCCAACTTCATAGTGGAGAACTTGAAGGCCTTCTCCATTTTCTGTGTATTACAAAGTAAGTTTCTAGTCATATTAGGGAAAAAACAACAAATCAAAAGAAAAGTGATAACAATTCACTTAACTGCAAAAAGAAAGAAACACACAACAAAATTCGGAAACGTGTAATCTGGACATCATTAGCTGTAAGAAGATGCTATAAAAAAAAAAGGTATAAATATCCCATTTGCACACGATCACCGCTCAGTTTTAAATTAGACTCATATTATGCGCTTTCAAAGGAAAGGTTTAATTATTATTTGAGAGAAGACTAGTTACAGAAAGGTATTCGAATCTCATACCTACGGGAATGAAAGTAAAATCGGCTATCCTTTTCTCTATGACCCTAATGATTCTATCTTGCCCTTTTCTCAGAAACATACCCGAACTTGTACGCACCCTGTGAACAATGCAAGTCAATGTGAGATTAGGTTCAGAGTTTGACAACATAACAGGTCTTCGCACAAAACAAAAAAACAAAATGGAAAGGGTTATCGCTTTCAAAAAAAAAAAACTTAAAACAGGAGAAATGGAGTTCAATTCCTCGATATCATATCTTAGCATGTATAGCAACAAGAAGATGCTGGGATAGGAAACAAAACCTGCTATCTCTACTTTGCCCTGTTTTCCTATCAACAACCGTGGATTTTGCCATGTGAGGTTTAGCAAGATTTATCAGGTATTCGCATTCTTCCTTGGACTGTTGATATGAATAGAAAAAAGTAAAAATCAAAACAACCACCAGAAGAAAGTAACAGAAAATAGTATTATTGTCACTTTCATGATTTTTCATTACTAACTAAACAACTAAGAGAAAGACATCAAATCTAACATACACAACAAGCTGAGCCCACAGTCCAGAACTATACCGATTCAGTAATAAGAAAAGGGTTATACAAAATTCGCTTACCGTATGTTATGGATACATTGTACTTCCGAGGGTCAACTACTACTCTTCTTAATTCATGTCAATGACTATACAATAGAATAGATCAGATTGGCAATTTCAAATTAATTTATACTAACCGAAAGATCTTAAGGACGCAAGAAACCTTGATACATTTTTGTAATAGTAATTTATACATAAAGATTATAAACAGAGACAAAGAATGGAGTAGAAACTAACCAAGAAATTATGATAAATGAAAGCTCTAGGCTCCCAAGAAAGGACTTCAGTCCACTGCTCCCCTCTTTTCCCCAAGCCTTTTCCTCTGCATCAAAATCAAATTAACGAAAACAATCAGAGAACACATCGCTATTCATCAAAAGAGATCAATGCTTAAAAATCAAACCATCAAGAGGCAGTTACCTTTCAGAAGCCATGCGTCTATAAGAAGTAAGATCAATGGCAATGGGCGGAGTGTCGTCGCTGTTTATCGGAAGAGAGAAAATCCCTAGTCCTAAAAGCATCAATAAAACCACCGTTAACATAAACAACATCGATAATACAAGCGTTACTGTGGACAGCTTCTTCGCCTGTAACCGAGAATGTCTCAATTTCGCCATTCTTGAATTCACGAACAAGAAACGGAAAAATTCAGCTCAAAATCCAAGGATCGATCGAAGTTTCCGGGTAAGACTCAGATTAAAAAGATGTGAGAAATTTTCTTTGAAAACATTTAAAAGAAACGGAACCATTTAAGGACTGACCGACTTTGCTACGCCCATCTACGGGCGCCACTAGTACTTTTCAAATGTGGCCTTACAATGTCGTGGTTTTGGTACTACTGCGATTGTTGGATGGTGTAGGCAGCACGGTGCTTGAAAACTAGTTTTACAGTTGAATAGCAGATAATATAGAAATCCCGAATCAGATAGATTTGGCCGCCCTTAGGCTTATTGCCAAATATCAAATTTAAAAAATAAGAAAGCAAACAAATCTTCATTGGAGTTAGGGACGGAATTACACGATCATCTTTATTCTAATTTTGCATAAATGTAAAACCATCCGACTTCATAGATGTAATCGCCGCACTTATTCTTTTAATCTATGTACAAAATTTTGATAAAATATGATTCTTTAAAATATAATACATATACAAAGCGTGATTCTTTAAATTGTCATTTTATAATTATGGGTGTGTGAGTTTAAAATGATCAAATTAGAGACAGTGAATTAAATTTACAATTTATACATAATATAAGGACTTATAATAGAATATAACTGGATAGATTTTATGAATATTATTTGGGTCAGGATCTAAAATACATGAAGCAAAATGATCAGATTAGAGTGCAGTAACTAAATCACAACTTCCGGTATAGTATAAGGACTAACAGAAGTTTTTGACCAATAATAATCCATTAGTAAAAATTGGCCCTAAAAAGCCCCCATACAACCCTTCTAAACGCTCGTTAATGTTGAGCTGCAGAGCACTCTGCACACTGCTCTCAATTTGAAGCCACAATGGCGATTCCCATGGCTTTAACCAAGTCAAGACTAAGCATTCCATCCTCTTTCTCGCTGCGATTCGTCAACTTTTACTCTTTTTCAACGCCAACCCTAATACAAGAAGTTGAAGCCGGTGACGCTGTTACGATTGAAAAGCTCCAAACCGCCACCCTTTCACCCGAAGAAACCCAAGTCGCCGAACAGTTCCGTTCCTTAATCAAAGAGCACCACCGCAAAAACCCCAACTCTGACCCAAGTTCCACCCAACCGACCCCTAACTTCACCATCCCTTTTCTGTCTCTAGACTTCTCCAAAATCTCCACCGTCCATCCTATCTCCCCTTCCCTTGTACGCTACGTCGTCGACAGATGCGGTGAGGTCCGCCTGGCATACCTTTTCTCCAAACACTTTCTTTAATTGGGCCCCCACGCGACCCGATTTTGTTCAATCTCCCGACCCTTACAACGAAATGATCGACCTTGCTGGAAAGTTGAGCCATTTCAGCTTGGCTTGGCATTTCATCGATCAGATGAAAGCCAAAAGCGTCGACCTCTTGCTTGAAATCTTCGCGATTCTAATAAGACGTTATGTGAAGGCCGGATTGGCTGCGGAAGCTGTGCTCGCGTTTGATCGCATGGAGTATTACGGGTGCGTTCCTTATAAGATTGCGTTTTCTGTTCTGATTAGTATTTTATGCAGAAAGAGAAGAGCTGATGAAGCTCAAACTTTTTCCGATAAATTGAAGGACAGGTTTGAGCCTGATGTGATTATGTACACCAGCTTGCTTAATGGCTGGTGTCGAGCCAGTAATATTTCAGAGGCCGAAAGGGTATTCAAAGAAATGAAAATGGTAAGTATTAAGCCTAATGTGTATAGTTATACGATTGCGATCAATGCATTGTATAGAATGTGGTCAAAATACTCGTGCTTATGATGTTTTTGCTGAGATGGTCGATGTAGGTTGTGAGCCAAATTCGATTACTTTTAATAATTTGACGAGGGTTCATGTCAAGGCCGGCCGCTCAGAGAAGGTTTTGCAGGTTTATAATCAGATGAAAAGACTCGGTTGTGCGGCGGATACGGTAACTTATAATTTTCTTATAGAGAGTCATTGTAGGGATGATAATCTTGATGAGTCTGTTAAAATGTTTAATTCGAGGCTTAAGAAAGGGTGTACCCCGAATTCGCCTACTTTCAATACCATATTTAAGTATATTGAGAAGTTAAAGGATGTAAATGCTGCTCACCGTGTGTATACTAAGATGAAATTTAAATGTATGCCTAATATTGTAACAAAATGTTTTGATGCGAATGTTTGCTGGCTCAAAGTCTACTGATATGGTTCTCAAGTTAAAGAAGGAGATGGATGATAATGAAGTTGAGCCTAATGTGAATACATACCGGATTTTGATCAAAATGTATTGCGGGATGGGGCATTGGAACAACGCTTACAAGTTGTTTAAAGAGATGATTGAGGAGAAATTCTTGAAACTAAGTATGCCTCTTTATGAAATGGTACTGGAGCAGCTAAGAAAAGTTGAGTAGTTAAAGAAGCATGAAAAATTAGTAGAAAAGATGGTTTGATTACTTAGTTTTTAAAAGCGCTCCTAGGCACGTCTAAGGCGCCGGGCGCAGCTGGACGCGGAGAAAATCATCTTTGAAGAGTGGGTGCAGTGGAGAACCAAAAGTCCTCCCGGCGCACTTCAGACGTTTTTCTGCTGAAGCGTTGCACGCACGCTTTTGCCTCCCGCAGGGGAGGAGAACTTTTAATAGAAAAAATATTAAAATCTAAACTAATCTTGCCAGCCGTCACCTCCTATCCCTCTTTCACTCATCTACATAAACTATTTTCCCTGTTACAGAGATAGCTTTGTGTTATATTTACTTTTTTTATGTTTTAAAGAGAGCCATTATAACTATCTACAGGCACCTTCTGGTGTAACCTATGACTTTAATGCTTCACAACTTTTCCTTTGGCCTTTGAGCTCGTTTTAAATGATCAACATTTTGTTTAAAGAAAATCTGGTATATTTGGGTTAGGTTTAAGGGTGTTTGGCTGGCTGCTAAGCTTTTAAGGCTCTTCTAGGCATATTTGTGGGTAGATTTATGGTTGTTGATTCTGTTTAGTGTATATTAAGATGGAAATAACAATAAATGCATAAAATAAGAAAAAGAAAATATTAAGATTTTAACAGTAAATCTATTAGTTCTAGTGTTAAAAGTTACTTATGTGAATGAATTTAGTTAAGTCTTGGTTAAATTTATGAACGTATAATAGTTCTATTTGTTTTGTTATTTAATGATATTAAATATTTTGATCTTTAAGTATTTATAATATGATTATAATGTTATATAATTGATTTATAGGGGTTTTTAGTATAAAAATACGTCTCGCCTACGAAAGGTATGCGCCTTCACCCTGCCTGCGTCTTGCGCCTAGGCACTAGAGACCTTGGTGCTCTAAAACTAAGGTTGATAGGGGATTTGCAACACGTCCTTTGTGGAAGTAGCTTATTGCCGTTCTGTCTGAGGTAGTTTTCCAATTGTACATGTATTGATTAACAACTTCAAATCTCATATTTTCGATTAGTATGGTCATAACTCATAAGGTTGTAGATTGAAGGGTTAGAATGTACTGTTGTATCTTCATCTTTCAGCATTCGACTAGTAGCATACTTTGTTCTCTTGGTTTTACTTACTGGTTATCTATTCTAGATTATCAAATCTCCTTCCAGTTTTAGTCACATCTTCCGATTCTATTTGGTGGGTTATTCTGTTGGAACGATAATTTGTTAATTGATGCTCTTAACTTCCTGAGCATATTTCCTTTCCTATCTGTAATTCATGGAAAATGCTATGATATTAGGGCACACGTTTTTGTTATCTCGGCAACATGATTCTCTAGAGTTCTTTTATGAGTCCCTTTATAGTTTGGTAGGCTTGCTAGTTAAAAACCAGGCATTATTAGGAAATGATTTATAATGACTCCCCAACTGCATAGCGTATCAAGCATCCCAGTTTAGACCTTTCAGTCTATCAGGTTCCTTCACTGAAGCTGCAAAATCCATTTCTTTTCGGGCAAAGCAAGTACACTTTTTTTTTAATGTAAACCATGTCTTCATTCATAAAAGTCAGCATCAGTAGCAACAACAGTACAAGGACATGAAGGGACAATAGTATCGAAATATAAAGGTGTAACAGGCGTAGAGGCATATGTAGGTAAAGCGTGAGCAGCACCATTGGATTCACGACTTACGGCATGAACAGAAACCTAGGGGTGAGCATCAAGAAGACGTTGAGCTTCGGCTAGATAGAAACGGAGAACGGAATGATCTGCACGATGGTCCTCCAACTCTCGAACGACGTTTAGAGAATCACTTTCAACGATAGCTATTGGAAATCCCATCTCAATACACTTTAATGTTTAAAAATACACTCATTTCAAACTATATGATCAAGTGTACAAAGAACTGATAAAAAGAATAGTGGTAGTAGAAGCAACAAAGCAATGAAGATGGGTTAAAATTTGAAGCTGAAAGAATAGGTGTTTTGTCATGTTGTGGAAAGTTGTCAGCCAGTGTTGAAGCTTCACTTCTATAAGCATTTAGATGTGCAACTTAAATGTTGAGCTTCAGATATTAGATTTTTTGTAGAAAAAAAGTTGGTTGCAGTATTAATTTCACTTGTGTCATGTGTACTGGAACAAGGGGTGTGATGGAGAGGACCTCAACAAATTTTACTGAGATTTGGTTGTGGTTCCTTGTAGGGGTGTAAACGAGCCGAGTCAAGCTCGGGTATCGCTGAGCTCGACTCGACTCGAAAATTTGCGAGCTTAAAATTTTTAAGTTCGACTCGAACTCAAAATCTTGAATTGAAGCTTGTGAGCAGTTCGAAAAGGCTCGAAATAAAAAAAAATCTTAAACTTAACTAGATTAAAGCCTCAAACTTGAACTTGAACATTAAATATACGAAAGTCTTACTGTATTTTTTTAAAAAAATCAACGCATAAATGTTAATATTATTAATAATTTATTTGAAAAAATAAAATCTTAATATATTATATTTTCGAGCTGCTCACGAACTTTTCGAGTCGAGTATCAAGTAGCTCGTTTCGGCTCGTTAAGAATTCTAGTCGAGCTCGAGTCGAGTCCATTCGATTTGAGTATTTATCGAGCGTTGACCGAGTAAATCTCGAGTATCTCTCGATCTGTCTCGTCTTATTTACAGTCCTAATTCCTTGGGTGGGTGGGTGAGTTCCTTCAAAGGGTGATCCCATTGTGGGGATCCCCCTCTATAACAA